CATTCTCGTGCTCATGTTGAAACTTCAGCTGGTTGTCTTCACCACGCCAACATGCCTAAAGGTACTGAGGGTAATGAGCTTGGTTTGTAAGAGGAGTAAAAGAGGCCTAAAAAGATCCCTTCCCTGCGCCTCAACCCCCTGACATCTTGTGTCAGGTGGTCTCAATAAGTCACGTGATAGGGTGAAGTAAGGTCTCACCATGGTTTTACTTGAAATAATGATGATAATGACCCACGCCATTTTTCACACCTTGTCTTATGTGATGAGGGACATGACCAATAGTGGGTCATTGACTCTCCTAACGGACAGCTCCCACTAGGGTTTAAATACCTGGGACTCTGCACCATTTGGTTTTAGAACTGAAGAAGCTTCTCGGATGAGAGGTGAAATTCTTCAAGTAACTTAAAGAAGTCCAGTCGCTTACTTTCCAAGCTCCTTAGACCAGTGTTTCCCAACCACTGTGCTGCGGCACATAGGTGTGCCGTGAGAAATGATCAGGTGTGCTGTGGAAGATTATCTGGTTCCACCTGATTAGTACTCTAAGCGATCAGCGTGAGTAACAGGCTGAATAATGACATTCTCTTCCACTAGAGATGATAAAGACGAAGAAGACAACGCAGCGATAAATATTTGATAGATAAATATTTGAAAAGAAACAATAGTCAATCTGACCTGGGTCCTGGAGAAAATTCCTACACCGATGAAGGCCCTAGCATGAGTAGTGGTCAGAAGAAAGCAAAAAAGGTATACTGGGGACAAACCGAACTAATTCTGCTGTACCTGGTGCAAGGGGGAAGATGATCAACATGCTTTTTGTGACAGGTTTGTTTGGTGGTGTGTGGTGTGATTTTTCTAATGTGAAATATGTGCCGTGGCTCCTAAAACTGTAACTCTATAAACTGTATTTATTACAACCTTATTTAGTATAGTTCCAACAAGCCCCCCCCCCCACTCAATGTGCAATATCACTGATCACACTCTCAATGCACCTGCTAGTTAGATGGCATGTATGTGTATGTATATAGATGTAAGCATGTATGTGGAAATATGTATGTGTATGTATGTACGGATGCATAAATGTATGTATGTGCGTGTATGTTTGCAGGTGTATGTATAACTTGTACATATCTTTCTTGTGTAAATGTACAATTTGTCTGTTATTGTGTAAATACTTAAGCTATTGTGGACTTCACACACATGGAGAAATGCCAAACTGCCTTTCATTGTTCCTGTAACAGTGACAATAAAAAGCTATTCTATTCTATTCTATTCTAAAGGTTGGGAAACACTGCCTTAGACTACAATGACCTGGATGACTGAGAACCTACACAGACTTAAAGGCACTGAGTTACTGCCATGCCTGATTAACTGGTGTGAGTCTAAAAAATTTAAATTATTAACACGATGCAAATGGAGTCACAAGCAGGCTCTAGTTTGCCTTTTAAGATGAAATTTAAGAAAGGGAAAACTGCCAGAAAATATACTTTTTGGAACAAAGCTGAAAAACCTCAAAATCACTTAAGTCGAGTCTGGTAATCACTCAAAAATGGGTAAATAGGTTTTAGGCTAATGAACAGTTGAATCTATGTATAAATGTTTTTGTAGACAAATGTACGCCCTCTCTAAATGTAAAACCAAGAGCTCTTGCCAAAGGAGTCTCATTTGAACGACTTAAATGCCCTCAGTACACATTAGCACATTAGCACACTTGTAGTATGCCAAGGTGCCACTCATCACTCATTCTCCTTAATCCAAACAGCTGTCACAAGGTTCCTTGAAACTTTCCCTGTCATCTCAGTGAGTGACTGGAAGGTTAAACTGACAGCACTGGGCCTGGAAAATGCTCACAGACGGACACACTTCCATCGATTATGGTGTCGACGCTAATGCAGCAGCTAAGTGGAGGCTACCAGGTGGGGCGCATAGCAAAACGCTCCTGTTTAGTGCAGCAGGATAAGGAAGGGGAGGAGCAGGTATCTGACAGATGATTGATGGCCTGTCGATCGCTTCAGAGGCATGCTCAGATTTATGACAGGACCCAGCCTGTGGCACATGGCCACCAAAGCCATGTGCTCATTGATCATTTTATTATCTACACCCCCCCCAATGGATGGGGCACAGCTGTGGAGGGAGTCAATGAGGGCACTGCAGGAAGAATCCTGATGCCTTCTGCCAATGCTCTGCTGTGTTTGTGTGGCGATGGGCCACTGTGTCTCATCTCGTAGACGTGCTGTCAACTGCGAATGTGCACATGAGTAATAACTGAAGTGCTTGTCGACAGCAGACTATTTCAGCCAAACCGAGTGAATACTTTCATACTGTTTGAAAGGCACATTTGCAACAATGATTTTAAGAACTTTAAAGACGTTAGCTCTACAACTCTTAGCTGAACAACTAGCATTCCTACAACCCGGCCCAACCTTTTGCCTTTGAAGATGATTTGTAATACATTACCCATCCAACTGTTTTGTTCAGTAATTACCCTAGGGAGTGTGGCGCACAACTGTGTTTCGTGAGCAACGAGTGAGAGATTAAGTATGGTGAGAATGAGCAGACCGAGGGAGTAAAGGAGTGAAGAGAGGTGGTAAGAAGCAAAAGGCTGTTAGATCGTCCAGCTGTCGGCACTGGAGCTGCAAAGCAGGCTGCTGTGGTGACACTTCCTGCTGCCACGCTGCCCGCAGGGAGGGAACATCTGCCAGCGGATGAGACGTTAATCTTGGTGGTGTTGAGGCTCGCACCGCCACAGTATGCTCAGTCTCACACACACCGAGGAAAGGAGGGCCAGAGCTACATAGGAGCGCACACACCCTTTCCACCTCTAAAAGTGTAATCTTGTTTGGTTCTTGTGCCCACTTATGATGTTTGTGATAGCGCACAGCTGCAGGCTACCAACCTGTCTTTCCCATTTGGCCTGGAAAAGAATATTGCTCGAGCACATGAAGGGAGTAAACTTCGCCCACACACGTCCACATATTCAGGTGAACTAAAGTATTTGAGTACAATGATGCATAATGATTCAGAAATATAGGTATTGAGTGTTGCAAAAAGTATTGTAGGTGGACTACACAATTTTCCACATATAAAAAAGTAAACATTAACATAATCTATAGCAGTAAGTCATAAAATAAGAAGCCGAGGACATGCAGAGGGCAGGGTGAATTTATCAGGTTGCAAGAAAAGGTGAGAGGTTACAGGATGAAGGTCCATCATCAAACCAAATTTCTTCTTTGAGTATTATTAGTTATGCAATTAATGACATATAAGGAAAAAGAGAGATCATTATTATTATTCTGAGAGTTTATTATTCAACATTTCAGTTCAAATCTTTGCACTCAATATCCCAAGTACAATCTTCATGAGTACCCTGTTATTGTAAAACCAACCAAGCTCATTTTGACCCCAATATAACATAATTGAAACACAAAACTAGCAACTCCAGAGATTTAATCTCTCCAGCAGGTCCTGGGTCTGCGTTACAAGCCTGTAACACCTCACCTAGGAGGTTCCCAGGAGGCATCCTGGTCAGATGGCCAAACCATCTCAACTGGATCCTTTTGATGCAGAGGAGTAGCGGCTCTGCTCTGAATGACCGAGCTCCTGTAAGGCCGAGCCCAGATGCCCTCCCGAGGAAACTTGCTTCCGCTGCTGAAATCCACGATCTCATTCATTCGGTCACTACTCAGAGCCCACGGCCACAGGTGAGGGTAGGAATGAAGCTTCATTGGTAAATTGACAGCTTCACCGTCACGGTTAGCTCACTCTTCACCAAAACAGGCCAGTACAATATCAGCATCACTGCCAAGACGGCACCAGTCTGTCTGCCAATCTCCCACACCACTCTCCCCACTCACGAACAAAGCACAAGACAAACTCCATCACTTGGGGCAGCAACTCATTCCTGACCCAGAGCGGCCACTCTACTCTTTTCCAGCTAAGAACCACGGCCCTGAACTTAGAGTTGCTAATTCTCATCCCACCTGCTTCACTCTTGGCTGCAAACAGCCTCAGTGCAGGCTGCTGGAGATCACGGTTCGATGAAGCCAAAAGAAGCACATCATCTGTAAAAAGCAGAGACAAGATACCCAAACTCTTCACCCTCCACCTAGAGTTTCTTGGCTGCGCCTAGATATTCTGTCCATAAATATTATGAACAGAATCAGTGGCAGAGGTCAGCTTTCTCAGATACAGTAGATCCAGCTGCATCTCAAATGTGACATCATATTTACTAAACGTTACCTTTACAAGGCAAGAGAATTTTAAGCAGGTTTAAAGATAAAAGACATTTTAAGACAGTTTGACCTTATTTGACTTTGAAAAAGAGGTCATTGGTCCTCATTCCCTGTATGCCTGCATGTTGTCAATGCAACAATGGCAGTAAGAAACAGTTTTCAATAGCTCGATCAAGCATTATTGCCACTGTGACCTTCAAATTAATCTTTTGACCTTGAAGGAAGGATCAGAGGTCACAGGTGACGTGACTTTTGAATCTTTATACATGACTTTCTATAGGTTAACACAGCACACTTGTAAGACTCATAGTTTCTCATTTTTAAGGCTTTTTGTTAATTTTCTACCAATAAATTGTTAAGTTGACCTTGAAGACATCGGTGGATGTCGGGCAAATTTGAATGGGCTGTTAAAACGACCCCACTCTCCACCCTTACAAAGTTTTATCAGAATTCATTCAAAACCTTTCGAGTTATCATGTTTTCAGGCAGAATAATGACATGCAAACGCTGAAAACATAACCTCCATGGCGGGGTAAATTTGTGGGGAACAAACTGACTGACAAAAGTGATAAAATATTGGAACAATTAAAAAAAAACAAACTCAGATATTACAAAAAGAAAAAAAAAATACAGGCCCCAGTTGGTAAGATGAGGGTTAAACACAATTACACTTTTTACAAAGAGGCGATGGAACAAAATTAAATCAAGTACGAGCAAGAACAGAATGGAAAAAACCTCACTGAAAATGTATAAAGCACCAAAGCTGGATACCTTAGTGAGGTCACAGATCCTCAGAAGGTCGCTCCGGGCTTCGCCTTCATACACCCGCCTTCGTTCCCTGGCAACATCGATATCCTCTTCCTCCGCAGGCAGCCACTTCCCTGAAATAAGTCTAGCAGAGAGAGTCAAACACAGTTGGCATAATACCCTTCATTAAAATTAACACGAACTCGCGTGACAAATTATGTTGGTCAAAGTTTAAGCTCAATGAAACAATCTCTGCAATTTTCATAAATAGATGAAGCCATGGGCATTAGTTCCTATGGCAACCTCGCTTTTAGAGTACAAAACACTACAAAAAAAGAGTGGAAAAAAAGAAAGAAAGACATAATTGGTTTGAATTTGGTAAAACACATTTGCAGAGCAACAGATGTTTCATATAAAGTCAATATAGAGCGTATTACTAATCCTAACAGCTGCGAACAGGAGAGAATTTGTTCATCTGACAAAACACAAGGAAGAGTTGTTTTTTTCTTTTTGTTTTTTTGTTTTAAAGTTTCTTACAGTCACCTTGGTTTGCAGAAGAATTTATACTGGATGAGGATTGTAACGGCAAACATGACAATTCCCTGGATGGACATGGCACAAAGGTTCTTGCCCACCATTTCCCAGCTCAGCGGGTTCTTGAAACGGTCCTCCCCTGATAAGAAAATTAGCAGACGCACACAGGAGAAAAGCAGGTAATTACACAGATTATTTCCACGTGTCACGTCACAGTAACTTCCAACCCTTAACAGCGAGCCCCGAGGATGAGTTAACGGACACGCTGTCAAAACAAAAGGGAAATAAGCAGATGTGTTTTCGTTCACGGACAGCCAAATGTGTCTTTGTCAGACGCTGGTGTTGCTGAGACGCATTTGTTGGTGAAAGGCGGCAGTTTAAAAAGCCACTTAGCCTTTGCATAATAATAAAAAAAATAAATGCTGTCACCTATGTCATGGGAAGAAATTGCTGACATCCTGTACTTTTCATGTTGAAGCCATATTTGTATTTTTTGGCTAATGAACATGCAAGTAAAGTAAACCGTTGACAGCCCAGCACTCTAACCATTATCATATCTGCTCTCTTTCCCTCTCCCTCACGGCTTCCACAGCCCTTAAGGCCAAGGGTGGGGCGGGGGTGGGGGGTGCAAAGGAGACAAGAAAAACGAAAAGAGCTTTCAGTCTCATTCTCGGGTAAATAGCCCCTTTCCACACTAGCCTTTTTAAGTTGTGATTGCTTTTCTCTTCCTTCTCTCCAACCGCCGCCGCAAATGATTCCTCAAACCGCTATTTCCTGCTCCATCTCTCCACAGATAAGACCCCTTTTTCCTCTTGCATGCGCCTCTTTGCTTCTTGATGACCTCCTCAATACCGGCTCCACCTCCACAAGCACCATTACACTGTTTTTTTTCCCTATCCTGTCTAAATTTAACTCATGCAGAGTGTGCAGCTGTAGTGGACACTAGGGAGCTGCGTTTCTGGTCAAATATTGGAGAACTAACGTTTAGAACGAAATAGCATCGTATCAGTGGAGAAACGGGTGGAATACGAGACACAGGGCCATATAAATGCTCCTTTGTGGGCTATTATTATTATATTTTTGGATGGTATTCCAATAACTTAAAGGCTCCAGTCATTTGCCAGTGTAGCAGAGAACAGAGCAGTGTGGTGGGCGACTGTGATGCAGAAACGGGTTATGCAAATGTTTCGTTGCAAAGATCCACAGAACATTTATTCTGGCTGTTTTCAGAGCAGCACGCGGTGCAGTTGCGTTTGTTGTTGTTTACTAAAAGACAACGGCGAGGTTTGCAAGTAAAATGGAAGAAATCTGCGGCGCAAGTTGCTCTAAATATTTTAAGAGGCACAAAGTATAGGAGAGCAGGATGGAAATTTATACAAGCGGTCTGCTGTGATAAATTAGGTGCTGCAGCTGACTGCTGAGTGAGAGGAAACCGAGTCTGGTAAAATCGGTGGCACTTTGAGGCACCGGGGTGAGATAAGCATGTTTTAAAGGGTTTTATAAATATACCAGCGCTCTCTTTTTTTCTTCTTCTTCTTTTGCTAATCCGCTTTACACGCTGAGCTAGCTTTCTCTGCCCATGCATTACCTGTACATGTCAGTAACTTGTGTTTTTATTCTGTTGTGGTCTTTTTTCCCCTCCCTGTGCTCCCTCTCCTTCACCTTTCTGCAGATACGGTCTTCGTGTTTCTGATCTGCGGTTATTGGCCCTACCAACCTGCCCAGTGTTTATTGCCTGTTATTTCTCCGACACTCATCTTTTCTCACTCTGCTCTCCTCTCACCCCAACATGTGGAGGCAAGACAGCTGCCCCGACCTGAGTCTGGTTCAGATTTTATCCCGTTAAAAAGGAATGTCTGCCAAGCGTTTCCCAAAGAGGAGACTGATGCTTTTTCTCTCTCTCTCGCTGAAATGCTGTAAAGTATTGAGCTTACTATGCAAAGTACCCTTAGATGACATCCATTTAGAGCCAAATGAATCTAACTGGATGTAATCTAAGGGTACTTTGCACTAACTTGGACAAAATTTCTGTCATTTTGCCTCCGTACGCCATCACAGTGGATTTTAAATCAAATAAGATGTGATTGAAGCGCCGGCTTTCAGATTTAATTTGGTGGGTTTTACAAAAAATTGATGTTAACTGTCATTTTTAGACATAATCCCCCATTTTCAGAGGGTCAAAATTAATTGTACAAGCTAGCATCTTTTCAAATATAAAGATTTTTTTTAATATTTCAATGAAAATGCTTTCCATACTGAGTCTCAAACTCATGCTGTGTGTCCTCCCTTGAGAAGCTCTGCTAAGGCCTTTACTGCAGCCGCCTTCAGTTGCTGCTGGTTTGCAGCTCTTTGCTGCATTCACGTTTACCTTCAGTAACTAAAACAGTATGCTCTGTTGGGTTGGGATCCACTGAAATGACTTTTCTACTTAAAAACATCCCATTTGTTCTGTGTGAAACTCTCGGGTTGGTTTTGGTCCATTTGCACTGAGAAGCAGTTTTGCAGCATTTGGCTGAATCTGAGCAGAGAGTACAGCCCTGTGCACTTCAGCCCATGTGTTCCCTCCACGTTTAACAGATGATACAGTATGCTACGGCTCGTCAGCTGCTCTTTGCTATCCTCATATTATCCTCATTCATTTTGTTTTCATTTGTCCAAAGGATTTTTCCCCCCAATTAATCAATCAATCGAGTGTAACCAGTGGTTTGCACCTTGTTGTAAACCCTCTGTATTTACATTAATGAAGGCATCTCTTGATTGTAGACTTTGACGATGTCATACCTACCTCGTTGAGAGTGGTCTCAACTTAGCTGGATCTTGTGAAGGGAATTTTCTTAACTATGGAAAGATCATCCAGTTTCTTCTGTGGTCTTTCGGGCCTTGTGGTGTTTCTGCTGGATTTTGGGGGGGTTTCAGCGTAATGATGGCCTCCCTTATTTACATCTATGTCCGTTTGGACCTCATATTAGAGTTCTAGGGAAAAGGCCTCACAAGACAATGAAATTTAAGCCACTAAAAATCAGGGACTGCATAAAAATAAGATTCCCGAACTGTTAATGCAGTACCTTTGCCAAACCCCTTGAATTAAACCTGAACGTCTGGGCTTCAATCACATCTTCATTGACCACTGTGGTGTCACTGTCCAAAAGCACACGAACCCATTTCACATCTTAAAATCTAGCACTACTGTGTGAAACAGTCCTTTCTGTATTCCATACTATGATATCATCCTCTCACCAAAGTTGCTGAAGAGTGTGGCCGTTGCCTGGTTCTTGGCCATGTCAATCAGCCCTCTGCCCAGACAGAAGTGTGGGAATATCAGCAGCACCTGCTTCACTATGTTGTTGATGTGGGTGATATTCTGTTGAGAAAAATGCACACAGACACACAGGATACACATTAGTGGCACGAGGACGTTTTGGATATTTAAACCCTGACTGGGAATTGCACAGTTACAAGCTCAATATGTTGACAATTCTAGGCCTGAATCAGCAGAGCCAGAGTGAGAGCTTTGGAAAATAGCTTGAAGCTCCCTGATGCCAGTGCACATAATTAACAAACATCCTGCGCTGTGCTTGCACGCTGAGCGCGGGTGTATTGCGGTGCACCAAATAGCATGCCGAGGGAACTCGGTGCATCGAGGTTCATCTACCTTCTCGATGCTGGAATTTAGGAGACGTCAGGGAACGTACCGTGTGATCTACGGGGAGGAGCACGTACAGTAGAGCTCAGTATGTGCAAACACAAACAGATGAGTTGATGCTCAGGAAAGCAGATGCTCATCCCTAAAATCGTAACTAAAGCTAAAGGAAACACCCAGACACCAAAGAGTCACAGGTGGGAGGAAGAAAAGCACAGGTACTCTGTCTTCTTTTGGTTCTTCTGATAAAGCACCACAACAACAAAAAGACAGAAACACAAACCCAAAGCATATTGTTTCAGTGTTTCACAAGGCATAGGCAGAAATAAAGTCTTATCTTGACAGCGTATTTCCACAAAACAACTTTTTTTCCTTTCTCAAATTGTACCGTTCCTTTCTCTCCACATTTGACCTGCCGGTGGTTAGAACACTGACAGCTTAATAAAGTACAAAAGCAACAATTAATTCAATTAAGACACAGCGGACCAGGCTGTAATGGACTGGCACAAGCGAGGAAGGAAGTACAGGAGAGGGGGTAAAACAGGAGAAGGCAGAGCAAAAGGGCAACATATTACTGTGGCTTCACAACCGAGTTCATGCATTATGCATAGTGCTCTATTGCTGCATAGTCTTCAAAGCTCTTGCATACATGGATAGAGACTACAAATTCATCATTTCTGTTTTCTGGGCGAGCCTGCGAGATTAGGTGGGGCGGCGGCAGAGGTGCGATTTGTTAAAGCTGTGTGCAAGATTTCCAAATGATGGCCATTATTGTCACAGAATTTATTCATGCATGCGTGTAACAGCTCTGTGAAATTAGTTTCAGTGACTAAGCTTTCAATTGGCAGTTACAATGCGAGTGTGAGGCCTTATGAGTCTGCCAGCCTTAATAAAAAGCCAGATTTAAAGATATTTCAGTCTGCACTTTTACTGGATGTCAGCTTATTGTGTAAATGCAAGTAAAACATGACACTTTTTAAATAAGACAACATACTCTGTCAGATATTAGCAGGTGGGGAGTGAGACCGTGATCGAGGGGGAAAGGCAGACAAAGGAAAATAAATAAATAAATAAAACTGTTGACAAGACTTTGTTTTCTCCCAAGGAGGTGTGGGGGCACATTTAGCCTGTGCACGTTAAGCATACATATGGTGCTGCTGCTGTATATCTGCCTTGCTTTAGTAACTTACAGGCGTCCTCAAGCTAGCTCCTTCCTGCCTTCATACTAAGCTAACCACATGCTGCTTCCATATTCAGCAGACAGATGTATTACTGATCCTATCTAGCTTTTGCACTCTTGCTTTCACTGCTTCTCCTTATCCCTGTGATCACTGGAGCCAGGAACAAATCTGATCACAAAGGGGACAAAGATACTAGTGTACAGTAGCTCCAAATATAGCTAAAGATCTGCGGCCATGCTAAAGAGAAAGTACACTCTGTATCAGTTCTAAGGTTTGATGTATCAGGGCTTAAAATCATGCAAATGCAACCTCGGATGAACTACAAAACATGACATATACACAGCCATTCTTCATTTAACAAAAACTCCACCCTCACTGCTTCTATATGAGTTTAGAGGTTTGGCTCTCCAATTACTGCTTAATGGAGACTGAGGGGGAATAAACTGTGAAGCACGGTGGTGGAGGGGTGATGATTTGGGCTTGTTTTACAGCCACAGGACTGCAAAACAAATGTCTTCCAAATGTGAGACCATCGGTCTGCAAAAGCTTGGCTGAAACTGGATCATTTAGCAGGACAAAGATTCCAATCGAATCTACAACAGAGTGAAAATGTGTCTCAAAGGATATCTACAACCATAGGTGTACTTTTCTTTTTCCCATGACTATATGGGGATACTTTGTATGAAAGGTCCTTGTCATTGATAAAAATAAAATGGAATAGTAATAAAACGCTCTAAGATTTTTTACTGTATAATAATTCTCGTAACAGGAAATGTTCCGATGTGTGTTTGAGGTCATCTGAATGAGACGAGCAACAATCCACCTTACAAACTTACAATAAGTGTTCGCTGGCCTAGTTCTCTCGGGCAGATCCAAGACCGTGATGAAAAGGTCTCATTGATCACGATGTCGACGCAAACCTTTAGACGTCTTTAGATGTTCAGCAGCAATTCATCATTTCTTTTATCTACACTTATACATTTGCTTGAGGACAGGAGGGTAAGAAGAGCTGCAATAACAATGCATATTCAACAAAAATTGGTGCATCTTGTTACTGGTTACATTTTTTTGAACACTTGAACCCTGCTTACTAAGGAGAAAAATGGTTAAATGGTATCATTTAAATCACTAATTTATATTTGTGTATTAGTATTTTCTCTTTAGCCAATTACTTGATTGCCTATATGGAGGAAAGATATACTTTACTGCAACAATTTGCTGTAGCAGAAAACAAGTTTACCCTCAAAGTTGACACTAACGTTCTTTTCTTGGCGTTTGCAAACATATTTTTATCCCCCAGGATGTTCACAATGTATGTAACCACTCAAATGCAAGCATCGGGGGATTTGCTAAAGGCACCTCTATTCTTTACATTCAACACTAAGCCTAAACAGAGATAAGAAAGTCAAATAAATAAACAACAGCTATGACCTTGGCAGAGAGCAGCCCATCCATCTGGCAGAGGAATGCAAAAAGCAGCGAGACCTAATTTGAGATCGATACATGAAATAACATATCTCCTCCTGACTGGGTGTTCATCAAGGAGATCTAAGAGGTTCTTTGTCGAAGATGATAAAATGCCGGACAATTTCCCCCCTTGTGTTTGCGCTATGTGCCCATAAATCATTTTCAAATGGTTTTTAAAGGTGGTATTGTCTGCGCTGTGCTTATCTGACCCATATCCCTACACGTGCTTATTCCCACAGCGTGGCTTCATTCATAATGCTGCGAATCACAATGAAAGCAGACAAGCAGAGGATGTATGGCTCAAACAGCTGGGGAAGACGTTTTTCAAGAGATGATATTCCTGTGGTTTTGAGATACTGTAGGAGTTCTGTCGTGAGCAATCGACTACATTAAACCTTTGCCTGTTTTAAACACAGCGTCGATAAATTCTTCTGGACTTAAAACAATGTACTCCAATTACACTACATGAGGTAAGCGGTACCTGGCCACGCCGCCACACCGATACATTTATCCTGGAAAATCTATGGGTGCCTGCGGTTATCTCTTAGAGGCACGTGGTGGAAGTATTGACTCAGACAGCGCTTCAAGCGTACAAGGCAGGCTGGGATTGATGCAATCCACAGGGAGTTGGACAGTCCTGAGGGAAAGAAAATCTCCCATTGGTCTCAAGACAAAACTAGGGCACCAAGTCTATAACACTGCAGCGCTGCTTTCCCACTCTGCTACTCTTATTTTTTTCCCTTCTTCCCATTTTCTCCCCTGGAAAAATGGTGCTATGCCCAAAAGGGATCTAAATTCACCCAGTGCTTGAAAAGAGAAAACAGACTGAAAGCCGGAAGCTTTACTTTTGAGCGACACTGTTTAAATATCGCCGCCGCCGCCGCAGAGGAGCCTGAAAGTGATGAGGCGCAGCTTTGAAATCGCAGAAGCTGCGAGAGGAGAAGGCTGGATAGAGCTGTCATGTGCAGGATCTGCCGTTTCTGTTGAACTGGAGCACGTCGGGGCACTGTCATATCTGCGCTAGCTAGTTTGTGAAGAGTCTGTTCCGGGGAGATATCAGCTCTGAACTGGGGGAGACATGGAAACCTGGAGAGCTGTAACATGTGAGTTGATTGATGTTGACCCGTCAGACTCTTATCGGCGGCGAAATCGGGTCAGATTAGCAGAATTATCTCGGACCTCCGTCCCCATCGAGTCTCAGAGAAACACGCTGCTCCTAATGCCTCAATCGAGCGAAATGGGCAGTAAATCCGTCCCTTTACACCGGCCCGTGGGCAAAGCGCTGTCCATTAAATTATCGGGAATGGCGCCCTTTATGAGTAATACGCTCCGCTAACGTCGCATCAATAAATAAAGAGAATGCAGACACAACAAAATGACCACAGTGACTTTCTTGGAGGAGAGACGCGCTCGTGAAAAATACAAATTGATGATGAATGTCGGCGATAATGAAATCACGATGCAAATGAGGCCGCCTCGTTAGGAGACAGGAAACATCCCATGCCATCACGGAGCGGGCGCCAGAAGATCAAGTCGCAGGCAGGCGTGTCGGAGGGGGCAGACCGCGCAGAGGCAAGAGTCTTTGAGACGACATTACGCTGCGTCTGAAGTGGCAGATCGGGGATGTGGGAGACATTCTGATGAAGCGTCAGATGCAAACGCAGCTCGGCACCGCACCGTGCTCTTGTGTCTGTTGACAAGGGATGACTGATCAGCACGAGGCTAAAAATACGTGGTGAGGTGGGGAAAAAAACAAATGAGAGAGCGGGCGATGCGTGGGAATCGTGCAAATAACAATTAAGGCTGCAAATGTGTTTGGACGTATTCAGATCAGAGAACAAACGAGAAAGATGTCAGAAAAGTAGAGAAATCGTTTAAAAAACTTGAGGTTGTTCTGTCTGAGTCCTGGCTGTTTGCACACATTGCGTATTCAGATATTTTCTTTTTTACGTAATTTATTTAAATTCTAATAAAACAGTACAATGACTGACAGTCTGTCTCTCTCTAAACCGAGCTCTGCATTTCTTATTTAGCTCGTTTTTGGTGTCTTTGTCTTTTCATTCCACTGAGACTGGAGCAGCTTGCAGTTAAAATGAACACTTGCTGAAAGATGGATGAGCAAAGTTCTCTGAAGACCCAATTCTCAGCAAACGATTTAACATTAAAAAGAATAGGCAAAATAATTCCTTTGAAAAATCCTCGAGAGGATAAAGGAAATATATTAAAAGTTATACCAGGTGGGCACACACCCCACCCACGCGCGTGGAAGCCTTTGCTTTGGAAAAAAAAATGGAAAAACACTGAGCGTTTATCTATGATTCAAGTCAATTAGCCATCCGCAGCTATAGCTTCTGCATAAATATCATTTTTATGGAGCCTGAAAGTCTGCGCCTGCTGTTTCACAGGAAGTGTGTCGCCTGTCGCGTTAAAAATGTGCATGCATGCATGTGTGTCTCCCACTTTTCCGTCCGCACAGACTCTGTATGCGTGTGTGAGCGTGTGAGCGTGTGGTGAGGGTGACACTTACATCATCATCGAAGAGCTCCATGATAAAGGTGGCCACGCTGCTGTTAATACCAATGAAGAGGTTGATGCAGGTCAGCACCACGTAAGCTGTGCTGGGCACGCTGAAGATGAAGGAGAACGGGTACATCATGGGCGTGATAGCCCAGCTTAAAATAAAAAACACAAACCAAAGTAAAAGAGTGTTACAAAATATAAAATATAGAAGTTAAAATAACAGAGGTGATCTCCAGTGCGATCCATGCTCGTTAAACTCTCCGAGGACAATTTGTATAACGGCAAATATCACGCTAGCAGCTACTGAATCCTTGCTATTTTCGATTCACGAATGCGGATTACCAGGTCAGCTGTGCCATTTGATGGCCTCCTCTGATCATTTGCATTTTCAGTAAGTGACCCATGAAAGCACTGCCAACTGAATGCTGCCCACGCTCGGCAGTCAGCGGTTCAAGCTCGGTATCACAAGCAGATCAAGTGAGGCACTGGTGTTGTGGTGCCACGGTGCCAACCCCTGTCATATAACCAGACCTTTGAATGTAATTTGAAAGTAACACGTTTTGATCTCATTACATTTACTCAAGTGCTGGAGTTTCAGTTTGACCTACTTCAGAGGCGTGTGTGTAACTTTCTGATTCAGTTCTTTTTAGATTAGGAATCTTTGGAAACAGACTGCAGCCTCACTCTGAGAAGCACACAGACCTGTTTGTACGAGCTAAGCGATACAGCATGTCTCCTTCACTATGTGCCATAGCTGTATCTGATATCCCTGCGGTGGTGTTCTTCCTGGATCATCAAAACCAATGTTGGTCCAGTTGCAACATTGCAAGTGACCAATCATCATCAATGTTATGATGTCATAGGTTTGCAGGGTGGAAAAAGCCGACCGATGTGGTTAGGGTCAGGGTTGGGGATTAGGACGTGATCATAGTTAGGCTTAGGGTTTGGTGTGTGTCACTTCCAATGACTAGTATTACTAACTTATTTGTGTGCACTGGTGCATCTTTCAATGGACGTAGTATAAGTATTACACAAAGTACAAACTATTGCGAAAAATGTATAAAATACGTTGTAATAAACGCACTGGATTGAATTGGAGATATGAATTAAAGATTAGTGGCATAAACGTCAGTTCTTCGATTACTCTGGCTTTGTGGGGCTTTTTGACACTGTCGCAGATAACTATTTACCCCTCGGACACCTAAAAGGAGAAACCCTTGTCCCCTTTTTCTGAACTGAATGGTTTCTGTCATACTTCAAACGGCTTTTAGGACAAAATGACTGGTTATGCAACAAAAGGGTAGTCTTTACCTGTACAGCTTACCTTGATGATGACCATTTGAACAGGTTCTAGCAGGTAAGCTGCTAGAACCTGTTCAAATGGTCATCATACCACATATTTACTGACATTTCGTGAGGTGTCAAAACTCTTCATTAAGTGTACGGGGGAGGGGAAGTTGCCAAATGTCATCTTCATCTGGGAAAGTCTTAATAGTTCAAATGAACAAAGGAAGTGTAAGCAGCGTGTAAGTGAGCTAATGCTTCTTAGCTGGTGATTCTGAGGTAGTGCCAGATCACTTTTAAAGTTCTCCTACAGCGTGGAAAGGCTGGTTCAACAATGAATAATAACACAAACTTTGAAGGTAAACTTTAATCAAGTTGCACGTGTGAGATGAACAGGTCTGTTGCTCCCTGTATTTTTTACCTCATAGAAAGCAGGAGCTGCTGGTTTACTGAGTAATTTTTGCGTGATGGATTTTTATCCCTTTAACAAAAAAGTCACACGGTAACACAAACGAACTAATTTACCGAAGCAGCAGCAGTGGACAAACAAACTTTGAACTACTGGAAAACTACTGGTTTCGTTCATTGAGTGTGGTGCAGTGAAACAGCTTCACTTCCTCATCAGAAAGTTGACATCAGGTAAACAATGTAAGCGGTCTAAATGGACATTATGCACCTTTTTTAGGCAGTTAAATGGATTTTTGATGACTCCATCCGCAGCTGAACATGGCTTTAATTTCTGTGGTTGATCTCTAAAATGTAATATAATGACACGTTTCAGCTGGAAACAGCTTATTTAACCTTGACTGACTGACTGAAGTGAGTAGCTTCTCATTTCTTAAACAACCACGTAAAAAGACACATCCTGTGGTCGTGGAAAAGATGTTCTCTGTTTCAGAAGGGTCAGATTTAATGGTCTGTATCAAGCAAACAATTCAGGAGTTTACTAAAACTATCAAAACTGGGTTAAACTATTCAACACAGTACAAAAGGCTGAAGGGACTCAAAGAAGAACTGTGAAAATCATGACTGATCATGATCAGAGGTCAAATTAATAGTTGAACTCGCAGCTAAGTAAAAGCATTTATACACACACAATGTAAAGAGAACTCCAGGGATCAGGACTAAACAGTTGTCTGGCCTTAAGAAAACCACTTATCAGTTTGGCTACTTGGGGAAAAAAACAATTCAGTTCACCAGGGATGTTTAAAGGTTGGACTGTGGAGCGATGGAGAACAGTCATGTGGTCTGATGAGTCCAGATTTACCCTGTTCCTGAGCGCTGGCACATCAGGTTAAGAAGAGAGGCGGGTGAAGTGATGCATCATCACGCCTCGTGCTTACAGTAAAAGCCTGATCTCAGGTTGCTTCAACTGGTCAAGGTTCAGCAACATTATCTCCTCAAAATCGCAGTCAGCTAACTACCTGCATTTACTGATCGACCAGAGTTTCTCCATTAATGAATTTCTTCTTCTTTCCGACGGCGTGGACATGTTCCAAGATGATAATGCCAGGATTTATCGGGCTCAAATTGTGAAAGATGGGTTCAGTGAAAGTAAAACGTCCTTTTCACAGATGGATCGACCACCACAGCGGAGACCTCACCTTAACCCCACTGAGATCTTAATCCCTTTACTTTGTCACGGCAAACCTCTAACGTGCCGTCATCGGAGCTAAAGGTAGGGCAACAAAATATTACAGTGCGTACCAAGAACTTACATTTCAGCCAATACCTGCACTACTATGACAGCTTTCAATCAATGAATATTAAAAGACAGCCCGTCCCAGAAATCTGGGCACGCCACAATTCTCTGAGCTACTCTGAAATATGTCATTTACTCACCCATAAAAAATAAGCAAGAGGATCAAAGCCGGCAGGTTAGGAGGGGAAACATAGGCTTTTTGTTGGAAGGCGAGGAAGATCACAATCACGATGAAGCAGGGGACGATGTAGTTACACTGTAAACACAAACACACACGCCAAAATAAAGCACAGGCCAGCGCAGGCTTAAAAAGTCACTCTTTAGGGTGGTTACGACTCCATTAAAGCGTTATGACTTTTTTTTTTTTTTTACGCCAACTGAAAGACCGTGTAATTATAAAATGTGTAGATGACTTTTTAATTAGCGAATGTATCCGGCTTTAGTCTTCTAATTAATCCAGTGAATAACAGAGCCATCTGATTCTCGTGTGTTTGAAGCAAGCGGTCGCTCAGTGACACGCTGAATTGGATGCATGTACAATGGCTCTATAAAATTTTGATCTAAGACTAATATTTATCCAACGATTGTTTAAATCCATTCAACTTCAAATCAAACCAGACAGCACGCTTTTTACTAGCCGACTTTTTTCCCCCCCTACAGAAGTAAACAAACATAACTGATGATGCTATTATTATATAATCACCCTTCGGATTAATATCCCCCCTGGCGAATAAATGGAAATACTGCAGATAATAGACATACAATGTATCAGGTTACAATGATACATGTTTATTACAGAAAAAGTTTAGACTGAAATATTAAAGAGCTTTCAGACTAGATTCACTGTAATATCCTTATTGTTGATAGAGCGTGCATGGTAATGCGGGGAGCTTCGGGCAAGAATCATTAGACAGGCTCCTTAGGTGCATTTGTCTTCCACCCAGACAGCATTTATCCACCATAATGATGAGTGTCCTGATGCAATTTCTTTACCAAAGGTACCTGATGAAATGTTTACTTCCATTATGCCTCGGGGAAACTGCCGGTAAGCCTGTTGAGCATAACCAGCAGGGGCAGCTGCTGTCGATAATTACGCCTCAGCCAATAACTGTCTCAGGTGAAGCTTTTCCCAGTAGCCAGCAGTGTCAAAGCTACATTGTCAATTACAGTGGATGGATATTTTTACATTTAGCCTTAGGTGGGCAAAAAAAGGCCCAAAGTAGTATATTACAAGGGTAGTATAAAATAAAGCAGGCGAAAACTGCTGGGGTGAATCACATTATAGCATATATTACACAGTATTTACCTGGCTTTAATGGGTCAGGTAACAGAGCCGGAGCTTCAGAAAGAGAGAATATTTGAGGCGCAGACACAGCTGTCAGATAAAGCTGGTACTTACCATGTCCCAGGCAAAATTGGCCAACCAGTAGACAGCTGGGTTTACTCCACTGACAAATTGCAGATGCTTGGCTTTGTTCACCCTCTCTTGGATTAGGAAGAGGACAAAGCTGGCAGGGATGAAGGACATGGCAAAGATAACGCAGATGGACACCACGACGTCAGTGGAGGTTGTGGCCCTGTGATTGAAGAGGACACAGCATAGAAAAAGTTGACTGGCGAGCTATTAGGGGTCTACCAGGGCAAAAGAAAGTGGATATTAAACTTTGTCCATGGGGCTAAATATAAAGTTTGATTCTGAGGTGATGTAGACTACGTTGGCTTTAAAAATATATGGAGCACACAAAGAAAATCATTAGAATTTACATTCTGTCTACTGTCACAGGCTGTATATAAAAGATGGACACAGCTACCGTGACCCTTTAGTTTTAAACTCTTTTAGTTTCATGTTCAAACCCTTGAGCTTAGGATTGTGACTGTCACCATCTTAGTGTTTTTAAAGAGACTTGATGATCTGACTGAGAAACTGAGGGACATAAAATAGGACTGTGTCGGCCTCCGCCTGCACAGGTCCGCAGACAGACCTCCTGAGATTATAGACAAGCAAGGGACTATAAACCTATCAGGAACATATACAGGGAGTGCAGAATTATTAGGCAAGTTGTATTTTTGAGGAATAATGTTATTATTGAACAACAACCATGTTCTCAATGAACCCAAAAAACTCATTAATATCAAAGCTGAATGTTTTTGGAAGTAGTTTTTAGTTTGTTTTTAGTTTTAGCTATTTTAGGGGGATATCTGTGTGTGCAGGTGACTATTACTGTGCATAATTATTAGGCAACTTAACAAAAAACAAATATATACCCATTTCAATTATTTATTTTTACCAGTGAAACCAATATAACATCTCCACATCCACAAATATACATTTCTGACATTCAAAAACAAAACAAAAACAAATCAGCGACCAATATAGCCACCTTTCTTTGCAAGGACACTCAAAAGCCTGCCATCCATGGATTCTGTCAGTGTTTTGATCTGTTCACCATCAACATTGCGTGCAGCAGCAACCACAGCCTCCCAGACACTGTTCAGAGAGGTGTACTGTTTTCCCTCCTTGTAAATCTCACATTTGATGATGGACCACAGGTTCTCAATGGGGTTCAGATCAGGTGAACAAGGAGGCCATGTCATTAGTTTTTCTTCTTTTATACCCTTTCTTGCCAGCCACGCTGTGGAGTACTTGGACGCGTGTGATGGAGCATTGTCCTGCATGAAAATCATGTTTTTCTTGAAGGATGCAGACTTCTTCCTGTACCACTGCTTGAAGAAGGTGTCTTCCAGAAACTGGCAGTAGGACTGGGAGTTGAGCTTGACTCCATCCTCAACCCGAAAAGGCCCCACAAGCTCATCTTTGATGATACCAGCCCAAACCAGTACTCCACCTCCACCTTGCTGGCGTCTGAGTCTGGAGCTCTCTGCCCTTTACCAATCCAGCCACGGGCCCATCCATCTGGCCCATCAAGACTCACTCTCATTTCATCAGTCCATAAAACCTTAGAAAAACCAGTCTTGAGATATTTCTTGGCCCAGTCTTGACGTTTCAGCTTGTGTGTCTTGTTCAGTGGTGGTCGTCTTTCAGCCTTTCTTACCTTGGCCATGTCTCTGAGTATTGCACACCTTGTGCTTTTGGGCACTCCAGTGATGTTGCAGCTCTGAAATATGGCCAAACTGGTGGCAAGTGGCATCTTGGCAGCTGCACGCTTGACTTTTCTCAGTTCATGGGCAGTTATTTTGCACCTTGGTTTTTCCACACGCTTCTTGCGACCCTGTTGACTATTTTGAATGAAACACTTGATTGTTCGATGATCACGCTTCAGAAGCTTTGCAATTTTGAGACTGCTGCATCCCTCTGCAAGATATCTCACTATTTTTGACTTTTCTGAGCCTGTCAAGTCCTTCTTTTGACCCATTTTGCCAAAGGAAAGGACGTTGCCTAATAATTATGCACACCTGATATAGGGTGTTGATGTCATTAGACCACACCCCTTCTCATTACAGAGATGCACATCACCTAATATGCTTAATTGGTAGTAGGCTTTCGAGCCTATACAGCTTGGAGTAAGACAACATGCATGAAGAGGATGATGTGGACAAAATACTCATTTGCCTAATAATTCTGCACTCCCTGTATACCGAGGTCACAGTCCAAAGGGTCGTTTTCTATAGAACCCAAAATGATTTTGCATTGAGAGAAATCGCCCCCTGCTGGCCATTAGAAAGAATGTAGGTGTAATGCTGCAGTCACACTGGGGAAAAACAGATGTTGCCGTGCAGCAGAATGTCACGATCCCTGCTTTTGAAATGTCTGTGACCACTCGCAGTCAGTTGCCATCTTCAAAGCAACTTCCACTTATTTGCTAAACTGAGACAGACTGTGACAGTTTGGAGACAAGTTGCCTCCCACCAGGTGACCTGTGTAATCAGTGTTGCTGGCACAACCTCTGGACATCCCAACTACTTGCAATCTACCTCCGATGGCAGCAAAAGTCAGTGCATTCACTGGGCAACCACAAATTTTCCCTAATCACAAGAAGGTTCCCATCCTATTTTTACTTCAGTGTAACTGAGGTGTTGGGTAGTTTCTGATTCACATCACGTTTTTGCTACGTCCATCTTTTATCAGTCTGTGGCACCTACTAGGTTTTCAAAGCTACGGAGTAAGTCCCCGGGGCCTGTAAGGTGCTTTGGATAAAATCATCCACATGAACTGCAGTATGAGAGATATAACACATATAACAACAGACTTTATGAAATACAGAACTGCAGTCCATGAACCTTCGGTTTTCCATCCTTATGAGGTATTCACTGTATTTTAATGTACTTCTTGGGGAATATGGGCGCACTTGGTTTTCTATTTTCATGAGAACGCACTATTTACTACCTCTAATATCATTCACAAGGCCATCACTGCTGTGACATCAGTGACAATAAAGAACAGCCGTGGAAGAGTCCGGACTGTTTTGTGGGCGAAATTCAGTCTTTTGTGTGTATGAAAACCAGTTTTAAGAGTTTCTGTTAAAAATCAGCAGGTCTGTTATCAGGAAATGAGCCCGATGACACTTGAAACAATGTCAAAACAACTTTTGGCTCATTTCCTGTAATTAAGACATAATCAAATTTAACACTAGGCAACGATGCATTTAAACTAATTCCGCCACACCTGCAAAAATAAGTCAGATAAGTAATGTTTCAATGTTCTTGTTAGTATTGATGTCTACATTAGCCTAGCTTTTACAGCACTGACTGATTGCTGTTTGTACCTGATAGAATTTTAAAGAAAGAAGCTTTTAAATGTCACCGACCTTCTGAAACTACGACACGTTTAGGGCTCCTTTTTGTCTCTTTCCAGCTTGTCCGACAGCACATCCTAAAATCTTAGAAGACTTTTTCATCCGCAACAATATCCGTGTCACACACAAATCTCTCAAATTTCCCCTGCCGTGCGTCTTTATTTATGCCACGCTACCTTTGGAAGTGTCCTTTACTGTGTCTGCTCATTTAGCATTGGATAAAACTGCGATCTGTGACTCTGACCACCCCAACTGCCCCCACAACCCTCCCAAATCCTCACCCCTTGCCTCCTGATAATCTTTCACGAGTCTTCCCGCTGCTTAATTAGCATATGAAATAAGTTACCCTGGGTGGCTACATGTCCATATTTATCATCGCCAACCAGGCGCAATTAGAACACGTAAATATGAAATCATTAACAGCAGTGCGTGCCAGCCCACATTTCTAGCAGTTTTCAAGGGCTGCGTGCTCTGTTTGGGTGGGGAGGTAATGTAGGGGACAAAGCTGTGAATGATCGCAGGCTGAATGCTTGAAGGTGGTTAATTGCTGTGAAAAGAGGACAAGCAATCTGCTAATTAACTACTAATGCAAGTGCAGGGAAGATGTGCAGTGGGAGTAAAGCTTTATAGTTTGTGTTGCCTTCCTTAAGTTTTCATTATTATTATTGTTTTATTTAGGGTGGCTGCAGGGGATTGTTATGCTGAAAAGATGCTAAAAACACAAGATAACAAATTGGCTGTACAACACTCCGGTCATTATTTCTATTATAAAGCCACATGCAGGTAGAGAGCTCCAGAGACAATCATAGGGTAAGCTGTGTGATGTGCACGTTATCAATAGTATACTTTTGCACAGCAGCAAGAACAGAAAGTGTCATAATTCGTTGATTGCAAATAAATTACACATCAAATTCAAAAGCGCGGCAAGATGAGACATTTTTGTCAGTTGCCAAATTGATGTTCCCCAGCAATTAAGAAGCAATGCATATCTCTCAATAATGAAACGGTGCCAACGCTGACATTTCGGGAGGCTCCATTTCTGTGCCGATGCGAGATAAAGCACGGAGACCTTGTGGGAATGAAGTGGTAATTTCTGTGGGTGTAAGCGTCGACTTTCTTTCCACCTGCGCAGCCCTTCACAATTTTGTGGCTCATGACATCGCTTGCATTGAAATAGGCTGTGAAGTACACTAGAGGGGAGTGTCACTTCAAATTAGACGGTGCAGTGAAATACTGGTGTCCAAAAGCTAGCAAGGGAGCAAGTCAATGGGGATGAATTATTATCGAAATTGCAGGTTTAGCTGCGGTCTCACCATAACATTGTGGAAGTGTCAGTGACAGGGATTCATTTAAGGCCGAGGTTGGTGCATTTCAGAATATTTTGACAGGATGGGCGGGATACTTTTATTTGGCCTTTGGTGACTGTGGCTTTTTTGGCTCGCTGCAATTAACTGGTCTTTCTCCGTGTTTTTCTTTGGACATTGCCATTGGCTTCTTTTTCACTCATATTCAGTCCTTGTACTTGACCATTTTCAGGGCAGAAAACATTTGTTGTTCAACATTTGTTCACATTTCTGTAGCTGAGATTATGAAAAATTACAAAGATAACACACTTGACAGGCCCAAAATTGTATTTTTGCACCAACTAGGCTATTCCTAAAAAGTGTGGAAATAGGACAAGTGGAGGACATAAAGAGGAAGTGGAAAATCTAAAAACTACTTACAGCAGATGTGCAGTATCTAAAAGCAATGTCCTTAAGAAACAGTGAAAAAAATATACAGCAAAGACCAGACACAGGACCTAAGAGACATCAGCTGATTCATCTACTGTTCAACAGAAATGGGCTTATTGGAAGGAAAGCTGTGAAGAAGTTGTGCGTAAGGAAGGGAAACAGGGAGAAATGTGCTGTATTGCATGTGTAAGAGGGGTGGCTCAAGAGTTTTGCACAGTACTGTAACTGTAAAGTCTAAACCCCCCTTTAAAACCACTCTGAGTTAAAAAAGAGGTGTGCTTTTGGCTACCAAATGAACATAAGTACAATATTTACTCGATTTTAATGTGCACAACTCTCTGTCTGCTAGCTTACCGATGCTACATGCTGCCACTTTATAAGATCTGTTTACAGTTTGTAAATATAAAAAAAACTTTCGTATCGTACGCTGCCATCTGATCCATAGTCATAAAATATACATTTCGATAAGTGGAGCTTCAAATTGTGCTGAGTCAGGTGCTCTAGAAGCCATGGCCCTTTCCCCTCCTACAATGTCCGCTCTTATTCAGCGGTGAAGGAGTGTCCGAGGCAATCTGAAAATCTCAGTTCATAAATTGCAGTCTTCACGCTCTGCACGGGCTGCTAGAGAGAGCAGAAGAGGCTCATCCTGAACCTACAGGATATCGTAATTATCCCTAACCCCGGCGCTGTCTTCCCCTCTCTAACTCAGGCCTGTCGTCAGCACCTGATCACCACATAAACACCTGACCGAGGGAGAGAGCTGGAGCAGCGGGGGGAAAGTGGAATGGAAATGCAGTTACTGAGCTGTGGTCGTGGCACTGTATGATGATGTGCTGCAGAGGGACGTAATCTAACTACTTTACAGTAGATGACACTGAGATCACAGTAGATCACACTGAGGACCGCAAACGGGAAATTGATGACGTTACGGGATACAATCCAGCTCAAAGACACTAGCTGTGAACACAACACAGAGCCGTACACAGAAAGCAATTATATCCGAATGGTATGAGCCAATATATTATGATTTAGCACGTCATTAATCTCCAGCTCTCATAGAAATCCGCCCTAAGATAAAGCATGCAGGGAGGGAATGGTACACCCTCGTGAGGAACTCCCATGGGCCTCCAAATCTACGCACACTCGAAGCGATCCCTCATTTATCTGTCTGTCTGTTCTCTGCTGTCTACTTTATTGTCTCCCACTCATCTGCTTTCCCTCAGTCTATGCTGTTTTTCTTCCCCCTCACTTCATTCCTCTCTCCCTCTCTCTCTTTGCCTTATCTGTCGCGGTTCCCCGGTCACCATCAGTCTCTTTCTTCTGCATCTCATAATGCAGTGTCAGAAAATTAAAAAGCGGCTCTTTCAAACACGAGAAAATGCATCGTCGTAGCCGCGCGCGTCAAAAGGCTGGGAGAAAACTGCAGGCTAGGGGCTTTTATATACTGTTAGTAGCTTGTGCTTGAAGTCAAACCAAGGCTCAGGCTCACATCCACATCTAAAGGTAATGTGGAGTCACAGTTTTACTCCATGTGCGTGAGTTGTTGATTTTATTTTTTTGGACTTGAACATGCAAACTCTACAAAGTTCAGCAAGTTCAAATGCAGAACATTTTTACTCTTCTTGTGAGGTACTAACACTACACTACCTTTCTGGACAGTTATACTAACCAAATGATGTACTATTCAGTATTTGAGAAGCCCTGTTCCTAATATGGACCCAAACAAAAACTTAATAGAGGTTAAGAAGAAAGCTTTAACCCCTGTTTTTTTGCCCGATGACTCACATGGCCGCACTGGCGAGCTGCTCTTTGCTGAGGTTGAGGGGGTGATTGGTGACGGAGATGCCGTACTGGCGCGGGTCCTGTCCCGCTGGCAGATTTCCTCTCAGGATGCCGTTGTTGGCCACGCTAAAGAAGGACGCCACGGCGTGCCGCAGCTGGTTGTAGAACCACACCTGCAGTAGAACAGACAATTGGTACAGAGAACAGCATGTAGAGGGGTTTGCATTTGCTTCCCATGTCTCCTAGCAACTACATCAGGTAAGACTCGTGGACAAATAATAGGAAAAATAAAATAAAACAGGCAGGTTATGAAGGGAGAGATAACCGAGAGATGACGTGGAGAAGTGAAGATTCAATTCTAATCTTTACTTTTTTTAAAACTGTGGAACAGGTCAGTGATGAAGGATGTGCCCTCTTAATTCTGAGGTGGCTTTCTTTGGAAAAGGGAGAAATTAACTACCCAGTGAGGTAGTGAATAAAAGATCAGGGCAGAATCTGTCTGCTGGGTGTGTTTTAGCATCAACGTGACACCAACAAAAGTACCAGAAAGCAAACACAGTGTGAACACTTTAGCGTAACAGAAGAAAGGGCAAATATCACCACTGTAAAGAGTTGTCTGTGTCATTTACGGATTTACTACTATCCGGATCTCATTAGCGGGGCGTCAATTAATGCTGCTTATCCAAGCTGCTGATGTGGCTCGCTTTATGCACGAGGTGCACTTCAGATGTGGAGCCTGGCGCAGCAGGTTGTGGCATTAGTGCACGGTAACGTGCAGAGTTGCTTGTGTGAAACTCTAGAAGCGTGAGTAAAAAGACAAAAAACGGCTTTTTATTCTTTCAGTCAATAAAAAGAGCAAAACAAAAAGGTCCCAAAGGGATGTGAGTCATAATCTCTGGGCTGACTATCATGAGCTCAGCTACAGCCTCCTAATGCAGCGAGTATAGTGCTGTGCAAATGTTTTTAGCCACCCATCATTTCTTTATATTTTCATAGAAAATTGGAACATTTAGCAGGAAATTTATTGAAATGTGAAAACACACATTGAAAGTCAATATCTGGCATGACTGCCTTTATTCTTTGACACAGTCTGAACTCTCTGAGGCAGCTTTCTTGTCATTTCTTGAAGTAATCTTCAGGAATAGATCTCCGGGCTTCTTGAAGCACATCCAAAGCTCTTCTTTGGATGTTGGCAGGTCTGCTTTTAAGGCATTAGCACTGTGTGTGTGTGTGTGTGTGTGTGGGATCATGCTATAGTCAAGCCATTTCCAATCAACGACAGATGGTCATTTCCAGATGGTGTTGCATTGCGGATCAAATCTGATGGTACTTTCATATTTCCATCGATTTTGACTAGATCCCCAACATCACTGATTAAAATAGATCCCAAATCATGACAGAGCCTCCACCGTGTTTTACAGATGGCTGTAGACACTCACTGTTTTATCTCTGTATCACTGACTTTCAGCGCAGATCTTGTAAAAGTTGTTTGTTTTTTTTGCAATTTCTTTCATATATTGGACTAAAGAAATTGAAAGAATATGTTTGTTTGTTTTACAGGCTTCTAGTAAAAGAGTATATAAAGTCACAACACTGATTCCTTCCTTCAGTTAGGTGCATTTTTGATGCTTGAATGATTCATAGGTCAGTGTTAAGTGGCTTAAACCAATAATGGTCAGATAAGACTGGACTTACAGTGAGTGAAAAAGCAGCCAATGTCTAAAAAGAAAAAACCTTCAAAAGGTTGGGAGGACTATTGTTTTAAGAGAACTATAAGAAAGAATTATGGGGCGGCTCAAGACTTTTGCACAGTACTGTAAGTCTCTAGAATAAAGTGGTTACCTCTCACCGGCCTGTCAGTGCATCACAGGGCACCTTGTGTACGACTCTGGCATCTGAACTCAGTAGTCTAATAAGCACATTGATGAGACAGTGTTGGTCCTTCAGATCTTTGTGCAGCACGTGTGCACAGTGAGATGTACGGTACATTATTGCTACTGATGCACATTCCCATCGCTATTTCCTGTCCTGTATTTCTGAGCGTGCCTTCTGTTTCTACTGTAAGTGATTCCCTGAGTTTGAGGCTGCTTGTAGAAGAAAAAGAATGGATGAAAGAGAGTTGGAGTGAGAGGGAGAGCTCCCTGCTGATAGTGCAGCGCTAATTAAGAGTGGATGGTGTTTGAGTGTCAGCCCAACATAGCACCGCATCACAGAGGAGGACGTGGAGAAATCTGAAAGTGCGCACACACACACACACACACACACACACACACACACACACACACACAC